CAGTTTGTAATATCTTTCACCAATGTGCACACTTATGCTCAAAATCTCTGGTGTTGGAACACATGATATCCTGCTAAGCATGCAATGTAGGTATTGTATTCTGGATGTATTCGTTTTATTCTGGATATATTAATTTTATTCTTCAAATACAGCCCCTAAAGTAGATTTTCAGTGAAAAATGTTGATATGTAGCAGTGCCTTGTAATGTACCAAACAATATTATTTTAAAATCTTCTGCTAGTGAGACCTCCTGAACTTTGGCTAAAGGTTTGAACTTTTCAGTCAACATGAAATTATTCTGGGCAGCTGGCCAGTTTCTAAATAGGTTGTGTGGACATCAGTGGCAAACCTTTTAATCTGGAATGATTCATTTCAACTTGTCAACTAAAATGAAAGCATTAGAGCATTGCTGTATTTTTTTTAATCATTTGATTTCATTGAAATACTTACAGAGCGTTTAAGTGAATTTCACATACGCTTGCCTCATACACCATATGAAAACTGCATCTTTCACACTTTCAGTTTTGCTTGTTACTTGCTCCTCTTCCATGATGAAAACTAAATTAAAAGAGAACAAAACAAAAAGTTACAATGGGTAGATCTTAATATTTAGATATGGTTAATTCTGTATCTCCTTTAGCATGTTCTTATCGAAGTGTTAATATCTTAGAAGCTCATTGACTGTGTTAAATTTGAGCTTTTGGTTTGTTTTGGCAAGATCAATACTTTTGAGATTGTTTCTGTCCCTAAATGCAAATCAGTGATACTAAGAAATACTCATGTTAGTTTGCTGTTTGAACTGTTCAAGTAATTTTGTTCATATTACCAGACTCTAGAGCACTCCCACCTTTCAAACCATCAGCTTCCACCTGAGAAAATCATGAGAGTTCTTAATGTGCAGACACTTTTCACATCCTACTTCCACAGGAGAGGATGCCAGCTGGAGGGGTGGTGTGACACTGCCTTGCATTCACCTGAATATCTGAAATGCACTGTGACATATTTCTTCTGCCAAACACAGAGAGAGATTATGGAAATGCAGCTCTCCAGAGCAGCTCCTGATGATTGTCTCATTCCAATTCTCTAAGTGATTTTTCAGCAACTCTGGTATTAAAGGAGTTGCAGTATGTATTTTAAAAGAGCTCAGTACTTTCACCCTGACCGCATTTACAGTGATTTCTATTTGGATGACCTTTTTTTCTCATGCACAGTCATTACCTGCTGTCTCCTTTATTGATGCGCTGCCTTTCCCAGTCTTCCACTTTTACCACCACTCCTCCTACTGTGTGTATTTAGGACAACCACTTATAAGTTCTCTTCATTTCTAAGGGACCAGATCTTAATTATACCAAAGGTGATTTTGGCAATCACATTTTTGTAAGGAAACCTTGAAGTCAAAAATAAATTTACAACTGAAGCTGCAATAAGTAGAATGAGTAAGACTATACCACATGACACCTGTGCCATTGGAGAGAATTGGGACAATAAAGCATTGTCTGTTGCCACCCCATTCACAGTGTGTCCAGGTCAGAAGGGTTTTCTTCAGAAGAGATTCAGTCTCACACTGGACTATCTGTCCCATCACACGTGGGGTTCAAAGCCACCCTAAGGACTAGCCATTGCTTGGGATCCTTAAGGCCAGACTTCATTTTTGTGTAACCAAGGTGGCGCCTGTGGTCTTGTTTCCTCCATTAAGAATCTGGTTTGCTTACCAACACAGCATATAAACTCAACCAGAAGACAAATAGTGTAGATTCAGATTTCAAATTGCTCCAAACCAGATGGAGGCATGGCCATAATGCCTTTCTGTGAGAAAAGGATCACACAAACATTCTCTTCACCTATAAGTCTGCTTTTCCTCACAGCTGTCTTTTTGATTGATCTAAGACAATTATGTGAACAGATCAGGGAGAGCTTGGTGTTCAGGGACCTGTAAGTATTATTCAAACAACCACAGGAATCCAAAATTAAAATATCCTCTCTGACATTCCTCACCATTTAGGCACTATTTGGAAAAGTGCATCTGATATGTGTTCAGAGTGGACGGTTATACTGTATGCTTTGTGCCATTAAATCTGCTCTTGTGAACTCAAGCAGCATATAAGTAGTGAGATAGACAAAAATTTCTTCAATGGCTTTACAGATGTTAAATGTTTTAACCATCCACAAGAGAATTTAGCAAGGCCAGGCTGAAAAAATGCTGTTGAGCATTTCCAGTAGGCTCTTGGGCTGCAGGAGGACTATGCAGAGCAAATCATGCCAGTGTGCATTTTCTTACCAATAGTAAGAGTAGTAAATAAAATCTGAAAATAATAGAGAAGAATGTCTGGATATTTTGAGTTTATTGGGTTATTTGGATCTAGCTGTTGCTAGAATGTTGTTCATTGTACACCATCATAGTCCCATTTCAAATAATCCTGTACCTTTAAAAATCAATGTTTGTCAAGTGTTAGAGCAAGTTGAAATATAAAGGTTCTAAGCAGCAATACAAAACAGGATGTGTGTCATGTGGAGCAACAATTACACCCTAAGTGCATGGAGAAGAACTTAGGGAAGCTAAATGCCTCACACTCCCCAATATGTAATATTATCACAGCATGAGTAATTGGAGATATTCTATAGAACTACCTTGACTTTAGGTTATTTTAAAGTCTATCTTAAATCATTCTCCTATCCCCTTCGTTGCCTTTTGAACTACACAGTTTTCTGTTTTCAGGCTCTTCGTGCTCTGTGTCTGCACTTAGACTTCAAACAGCCTTGCAGTGCTTTCTATTCTGTATACACTGACTTATGAAAACAGGAGTTCATAGCTATCTGTGCTGAAAATAGACATATTTATGCAATGTTTTCTTATTGAAAAACAAGTATCAGAATCTGGAAACCTTTTTTTCCTCTAAAAATAATCCCTTCCCAAAGCTTTCAACGGTACAGTATTGCAGAAAAGCCCTGTTAGATTATCCAATTAATTTCCTTTTCAGGGAAAGATCTCTTTTGGCAGTACTCTGGCATTTCAGGAGTTCTGGCTAGTCTGATTTTGAAATGATTAAGGCACTTCCCTCTGGAGATCTCTCTGAACACTCACATATTTTCCCATAAAACTGAATATTGTTCTCTCATTCCTTTATTTGGTGTACACTATTGTATTCTTGAAGTAATTTATTTTCAAATATTTCTTAACGTAAATTTACTTCATCACCCCTGCTCTTACTTTATCAGTTATGGTAGATGGGGAGTAAATAATGGGACCCTTTAGTCTTTCTCTTCTTTTTTCTCACTTGTCCCAGTTGGTTAACACGGCCCTCCCCTGGTTTCATGGCTCTCCTCAGCACTATTTTGTCTTGTCAGTGAAAAAATGGTAAAACAGCATTTAGAAATTAATGCATACCCAGATATGTTCTCTTCAAGCAGCACGGTGATGAGCTGGGAACTTCTGTATCATTTTTCATACCTGTGTAATATCTAACCAACAGAGCTTGCTTGTGAACATAACCTTTGGCTGGTAATGCAGTTGGTGCCCAAACTGGCCTTTTGATGCTGTATTGAAGTCCAAGTTCTTGTTTAGTTTCTGCTCTTATTCTTTGTCTAGAATTTTCTCAGTCTTTTATTTCCCATTTCTAAATGTGTCCCTTTCCTTGTCCAGTGTGACATTTGCAGCTCTTCACATTTTAATATCATGTGCATTAATGTCATAATTTCTTCCTTTTAAGGATCGTTAATAGAGCAATGAAGCACAACTGGACACAATACAGATTTATGGAACATTTCCCTTTTATTCTGAATCAGCTTTACCATTAATCATTAGTCTTTGTTTGTAGCTGTTCAGTTTTCTGCAGTTTTCAGCCCACGTGACAACTTCTATCCAACTGAATATGAGTTGATTTTCAGTTTAAGCTGTCCTGTGGCTGGAAGTGGTGGTGTGGCTGATAGCATGACAGTGCAGCAGAGCAGTTTTTCTTCTATAGCATGCTGTGGGAGCATGCATTTCACTAGGCAGGGCAAGTGAGAATTAAAGCTTTACTTGAATTCCTGGGCAATTGCCCCTGGAAAAAATCTGTAGCTGATGTCTATCAACAGTATTCTCTGCAGATGCTGATGGTGAAAATGTCTTTTAAAATTTAAGCTTCTAATCCTTTGCTTACAATCAGGGATAAGAAGAAGAATTGGAATTTCAGTTGGATGCTTGCTGAAATAGTATACAATACACATGCAGTTTAAAATAAATGTAAAAATTAATTTCACTGCTTCTTTTTAACTTTGTATTTTGTTTCAATAACATGCCTGAATTGCAACATAAGGTAATCAGTGTTCAGGAATCATATCTCTGTATCATATCTGTTTATCTTATTCCTTTAGCCATCACTTGTCCATGTAGATACATGTATCTGCCTTTTCTGTATTTGGATTAGTGATATTCGATTGAATGACTGGTTTTGGGTAATTATATTATTTGTTTGTGATTTGCCATCGCTGAGTATCACTGATGTATGTGGATTCTTTTGAGTTCTTTGTCATTACTTAAATATTCATCTAAATGTAATTGTCCTGTTATTTTGTGTTCTGGGAGCTGGATTCTCTTAAAATTTCTTGCCTTTTAAAGTGCTGTGTTGTCTCTGAGTATCAGAGATCTGTCAGCTTATACAGAAAGATGTGCCTTATAAGAAAAGGTCTTGGGTGTTTATTTGATGAAAGTGTTAGAATCTATGAAGAAAACATAGAAATAAGCATATTGAATAGGGCACAAATATGCTTTGTATTTTAAAATTAAAATTATTAGCAATCATCCCATTTTATGTCTTTCAGTTAAAGGCATGGTATTGTTAGGCATTTGTAATCTTCTAGCCCAAGCCACTAACGTATCAAATTTACTTTCTGTAGGTCTTTGCTGCCATCTTCTGTTCCCTTAAATAATTGTCGTTGTTATTTGGATTCTGAAAAATGAGTGGGATATTACAGAGCAAAATTTCCATTTCTGTTATTGTTTTTTATCTCTTTGTTTTCAGCTAAAGCAAAGTGAAGCTAATGCAGATACAAAGGAGAAGCTTCCCTTGCGTCTACGCATCTTTGAAAAATTTCCAAACAGGCCACAAATGGTGAAAATCTCGAAGCTTCCTTCAGATTTTACAGTTCCAAAAATAAGGTATTGAAATATTTCCTTTGCTAGCATGCTGTAAACTTTTCTGGGGTCACATAACACCCAAAATATTTAACTTTTTTTTTATTGTGTTAGGCAGGTAGTTCAGAAAATTAGAAATTAAGCAGAATTAACATAGACATTCAAAAGATGTAGCATTTTGGATAAACCTCATTTTTCTCATTTGGGTAAAAGCAATCCTAGCATTCCTTATACCTTATTGATGAAAGCAGCTAGATTAATCAGAACTAACACAACTACAATATAATTGAAAAGTGTGTTGTTTCTCCTCTTTCCTTTGCATTTTAGTTTCATGGCTCACATAGACGACTAGCAGTCTAATGGATTCTCATGTAGGTTTTTAAAGCCAAGGTGAAATGGCAGCAAATCATTAGAGAGGATTAAACAGACCATCTAATACCAGTTAGCCTGTGATGACCTCGTTCCGTATTTGTATTTGCGTGGTTACCTCTTTCCTGTGAAATTCATCTTAACTAAAGATCGGATGCTCAGTGATCTACTAGATCATTCTTTACTGTGAGGGGAGTGAGGCACTGGGACAGGTTGCCCAGAGAAGCTGTGTGGATGCTCCATCCCTGGACGTGTTCAAGGCCAAGCTGGATGAAGCTCTGAACAACCTGGTCTAGTGGAAGGTATCCCTGCCCATGGCAGGCAGAGTGGAACAAGATGATCTCTAAGGTCCCTTCCAACCCAAACCATGCTGTAAACCTTTGATCATCAGTTAGAGTACAGTTACCTTTCCTTAGTGTCAAAAAAGTCTGACAGAAATCCAAGGGCTGCTCTAGTATATACAGGCTGCAAAGTCTGCTGAAACACCACAAGCTGGCTGAACAGATCCTCTCCATGCCCATGTCAATATCCTCAACAAGCACATGCCAGAAGAGAGTTTGATGTGAAGTATTACTGCCATTGTTCTGAGTCTACCAAGGTTACATTTCTTTTGATTAAATTCACAAGGAAGCTAAGTCAACTGGTTTGACCTGTTTGTAGTACCTTAGCTGAACAAAAGGAATAATGCTGGTCAGAAGGGTCAGGAAAAGCAGCCTTCCAGACCTCAAGGAAATAATCACAGATGTTTTACTTTTAGTATCAAAGTAGCCTTTTTTTTATATATGGAGGGTGTTCTTCTCCTAGTCTTAGTCTTTTTTGGTATTTCTTTCTAGTTGTGTTTTTCCCAGCATATTCTGTACTCACTCATGATCCTATTAACTACTGAAACAGACTTCAAACAAGCACTAGCAAATCATATCTTTAAATCTGAATCTATTGTACTATGTAGCAATATCTCTCCAGAGAAAAATTAGTTTTGACATAGTTCACACTGAAAGAGGCAACTCTACTGAACTTAAAATATGGCAAGATGAATGTATATTTGTTGTGAACAGAAATGCTTCTGCTTTTAAAACATGGCATATGTGAGGCACAGAATTGCTGAAGCGCCTTAATACTGACATTCAAAGCAGTTATATGAACAGATGTTGTTTGAAATCTTCAAGAACAAATTTCATGCAGAGAGTGTGTTTCCTTTGGATTATATCAGCATTTGATTTACATTGAAGTAACAACTTGCTGCTTAATGAGCTCAAAAGAGATGAAAACTGCAAAAGGCACTTGAAATATTTAGCACTTTAATTGGTAAATAAATAAATAATAAACACATTTTTTTTAAATTTACATGCAAGAGATCCAACTCACAATTCAGTTATGGATTTCTTTAATAAATGAATTCAGGTGTTGTAAGTTGTTCTGGCACTCTGTTCATTTATGCATCTATACCCCAGTACAACTTTTTCTCATGAGTTTACGCATCTCAGCACTAATGGATTTTGACATGTCAGAAGGAAAACCAAATATTAACTCTTCTTGAGGTTTTAATGTGTCAATATCCTCTATTTGTTCCCAAGGGAAAGTTTTATGAAGCAGTTTATTGATCGCCAGCAACAAGATACCAGCTGTTTGCTGCGAAGACTTCCTTCAGCATCTTCTTCCTCATGTGACCACTCTAAAAGATCAGCAATTGAAGAAAACAGATACATTGATCAAAAGGTAAATCAAGAGTATAGGGTAACATATATCTTGCCTAGAGTATTGTGAGAAAAGGAATCAGATTATTCAGTTTGACAAACAACATCAAAAGTGAATAGAAGCTAGGATGATTGAACATAGCTAAACAATTATGTTTCATTCAGCCTAAAACAGACATCATAGCAGATCCTCTTCTGGTTTAAATTTTCCCATCTCCTTTGAATTCAAAAGTCAAGATTTGATACATTAGTTATTTAATGCATGCATCATCTGAAGCAATTTTTTTGAAACAGTTCTGCTGTTAATCACTGAGAAGCTAGTGGAAATTAAAGTTTCTAAATATCACATTGGATTTTTGAGTGTCTTGATACTATTGCAACCTTGAAAACACACTTAACTGAAGGAAGTGTGGAGGAAGTGTGAAGGAAGGAATAGAGCCTAAATGGACATCATCTACTTTAACAAGCAGAGCAGAAAAATTGGATAAGTTATTAATATCTCTGTGTAATCACTGAAGATGAGTAAAAATTTAAAAATTACTCTTAATTATTTAGAGGATATTACCCAATCTGTAATCCTGGGAATCACTAGAAAACAGACTCTGAACATATATATTTGATGCCCATTCTGCTAAAAGCTGCTAGTCTCCCATGGATGGTTAGATTTGAAAAAATACTAGCACTGCTTGGAATGATGACCATGATGATGATGATGCAGCAGCATAAGCAGATGTATCTGACTTCTGACACCTTATGAAACTAAAGTGGTGGAAAAAAATATTCATGTGCATCATGGAAGATAAGTGGTTTCCCAGATTTCTAGTGGCATCTACAGAATTATCAGACCTTGAGCACTTGTAAATTGCAACATTTTTATAGACAAAAGAAAAGTACTTTCAGTATTATTATGCTTCAGTATTGTTTGAGTATTGTCCACTGTTGAATCCTCTTTGAATATTAACACTTGTGTTTTTTAAATATATTTTAAGTTACAGAATCAAAGTCAAGAAAAAAAGTCTATGCATTGTTGTTATATAGTATAACTGGCTTTCCTAGTGTGTGTTTGCAACCATAACCCAGGGCAGCATTCATACAGGCAGAGTTGCAGAGCTGGGAGGCAAAATTGCAAAAGGAAAGTTGGGGAAAACAGTTCTCTTCTGATAATGAATGCAAATAGGCAATTTGTAAACCAGTGTTAATTGCCATCCCTAGTTCTGTGCAAGAGCCCATTCTTGTGACTGAAGTATTCTATGGCATCAGTAAATCAAAGCAGAACAGCCTGACCTGGGAGGGAGGACTGTGGCAAAATATGGCACATCTGGCCAAGAAGGCTGTAGAAAGGAGTGAATCCTAAATGGACATCATCTGCTTTAACAAGCACAGCAGGAAAAACTGGATAAGTTATTAAATGACAAGCCTAGGGGCTAGCAGAACTATGCCAAATATCACTAATAATGGATCTCAAACACTATGCCAGGGTAATCAGAGTGCATTTCTACCATGTATTGAAGAGATGAACAAAGACCTTAAAGTTGTCTCAGCCACACAGGTAAGTCCACAGTGCAATGCAGAGCTGTGCAGTGGCTCAGTAGATCTGTTTACATGAATATAATTTATATAAATTAATTAAATTCCATCTTAATTCCTTTTGCTTGCTGTTTACCAAAGAGAATTGTTACTGTGTTTAAAGACAGATGAATACATGGCACAGTTTATTCAATGAGATCTTGCAGTATGAAAAGAGAATGCTGCATTCTTTTCAAATTTTTACTTCCCTTCAAAAGCAAATATGCGTTATCTGACTTTAATTTTTGAATTTAAATGAGCATTTGCAAATTGGTTTTGCATTTGTCAACCTGCTTTAGGCACATACTTTAGGATTCTAATTCCTTAAGGATAAAAACAATGATAAGTAATATTTCTGATAAGTTTAGCTTAAAACAAGGTATTTACACATTCCTATTAAGAGGAGAAAGCACTAAGAAGGATTTTTGAAAGTAATTATTCTAGCTTTCTATAGTTACAGTTGCCAAGGCAACCTCATTTTTGCATGATCAAATCTTCTTAAAACAAGTTTAGAACGACTGGTTGTGCTTAAGTATTAACCTTACATTCATACTTTACTATTCTTTATAAAAAAAGAAACATGACAAAACATTTACTGATCTCAGTGCCTGGCAGGATGCCTTTTCACTGCTCCTATTAACAGTGGGATGGCTTCAGAAACTTTTCATATGCTTTTGCATTGTAGTTGAGAAAAAAGTGGAATTAAAAGGTAGAATCAAAAGATGAGATCCTGCTGGCAGATCTGACTTTGTCCTTCTTGTGGTAGCTGAACTGTGGCTAGTCCCTCCAGTTACTCCTGGACTTAAGTCACTATCCCTGTGTTCCACACCTGCTTAATTGATAGGAAGCCCTTACATTCCCCTACTTTTTCCCTATTTCCACTTAAGCAATATTCTTTTTTTTTTCTTTCTCTAAAAATCTGCCACTATATGGTTTTATGTTTAGAATCAATCTGCTCAATAATTTGTGCCAATCAATAAAGCAGATTTTATATATGTTTTCTTATAGAATGAATTTAATTCGTGTTTTCAGTATTATTATAATTACCCACTTTGTTTAAAAGTTGTTTTAAGGTGTAAAGGGGGAGTGCATTCTTCCTTTTTTATTTTTTTCCAAGTTATTCTACCTTCTCAAAAGAATTGGAAAATTATTTTTGGTGTAAATAACTGTAACCATGGCTACAATCCATTTGATATGATTTTCATCTATCCAAATCAAAAGAACATCTTTGGAAAACAGATTTCTTTGCTATACTCCTTTTTTCTAGTCATTTTGTGAGTTCCGTGGTTTTTTCTCTTCCAAATTTTTTTTAACTGTTGTGAAAGTTATAAACTAAACAAACACTGCTATAAAAAATCATTTTTAGATACCCAAATGCCATTTACATTTTATGTGTGGCATCTGAGTAGGTATGTGGATACAGATTGTACCATCTTCTTCCTTCTACATCCAATGACAGCAACACCTGGGCTCTCCCACAAACAGATGCTTGATAGGCAGCTTAGCACTGTGCTTTGTTTGAGTTGTTTATTATTATCTGTAACATTTGGTTACAGGTCTAAAACTGGGATTCTCTGGGGTTCTCTGAACTTAACACTGCTGGAAAGGCAGGATGATAATTTTTTGCTCTCCACTTGAGGTCCTACAGAGCAAATTTACTTAAACTCAGTGATCTTGCCACAGACCTACCCCCCTGTGTGCTGATCTAGTCTGTCCTGATGTGATCTGCAGGCCATGAGTTGAAGAACCCATGGTCAAATTAGAGAAACCAGGATTGTTCCAATTGGTGAACATTTCCCTTGTTGTAGTAGAAAGCATTGTGAAGTTATTTTCTGGGGAAAGAAGGAAGACTTCTTGGAAAAAGTACAAGATTAAAGGAGAGATTTAGGGTATTAAATGTATATTGTAGGTGAGGGACAAGGGGAGTTTTAGGGACAGAGAGGGAAGTGTTCTTTTATATTTCTACACTTTTATGAAAATTATTCACAGTATGCTGGGAATCTCCTTAGATAACCAATATTTCAGTAAATTCGTGGCCAGGAGAACTGGATGAAGTATGGAAACATAATTTTAGTGTGAGTGGGTGGATGAGAAGAAAGGAAGTTGGCAGAAAATACGGACATCTCTGTGGCTTTCACATAGCCTAAGGTATATTTGCAGCAAGTTTCAGGGGCACAAAGAATTAATGTAAGATTTAGAACAATTCAGGTGTCCAGTGAAATATATCTGAGTTGGCTGTAGAGCATTGGCTTTACCTTCTTAACATCAAGACTGGAATCAGAGGGGCACATAAACCCTTCAAAATGCTTTCCTAAGAGACATTCAAGTTTTAGCAAACCTTGGAGAAAATTATTGTGGGATGGGCACTTCTGAACTGGTTACTTATCCTTGGCATATGACACAGCACATGGCTGTTAGATTAGAGTTCAAAACTGATAGACTCATGAGATGAACTTTGTAAATGCTTATGGTTCAATATGTACAGATAATGCAGACAACCAATGTGCATGTCTGCAACAGTGGCAAAGCAGGAGTGAATTGCAAAAGAAAGCATGAGAGCATTTAATATATCCATGTATTTTATAGTTCAGACTTAGAACATCTCCCACTTAATTGAAGGAATATAATCAAATCATCTCCCTCATTTCTCCATTTATAAGATTAATTTGATAGCAGCAAACATATTTTCTCTTTTCTCTCCCTTCTATCATCCTGTTTCTTTGCTGATTCCCTGATGAGTTCTGGTTTTAGTTCTGCAAGCAGTGCAGTTAGTAGCCATTCCTTTCTCTGTGGGAGCCAGGTGCAGCACTAAGGTCTAGCTCCTGGGAAAGCTTGACCTCCCACACTATATGATTCCCCCACTGATTTCCTGCTTAGAGCAGAATGTACCTTTGTGAAGGGAGGCTGTGGTCAGGAAGTCAGAGCTGATCTCAGAGGTAGCCAGAGCCATTACCATGGAGGACTGTGAATATTCAGCTGCAGACCTCATGCTGGAATCTGTGTTTAACATATTTTGGTAATATCATAGATAACTGCTTTTGTGAGCTGCTGAGACATGCCACCTAATACTTGATTAGATGTTTTTGTTTCATTTGGATATATGTTCTATGTTGGGTTTTTTCCTGACCTGTGCTCAGATTCTTTAACTATTCTGTTTCTTGAGGAAAAAAAACCCAAACTTCTGAGAGTATTTCAAGAGGATTTTTCCTTGTAAAAGGTGTTTGTGATTGCAAAAGCTGAAATAGCCTTTCAGGTTTTCTAAGGCATATATTTTAGTATGGAAGACAGGATGTCCCAAGATACCTTTCAAAAAACCATCAAGGGCGAAGACATGCTCATATATTTTATTTGTACTCTTTTCCTTAAAAATAAGGGTAGAATATTTACTCATAAATTACAATGTTCAGAATTTTTGTTTCTTACTGTAATAAACTTATATCCCAAGTTAATCAACCTCTCTGAACTTTATTTTGGGCATTCAGTTGTGAAAAGAAGAATTCTGGCACAAAAGATACAATAGTGTTGTGTTCCTTATATTCTTTTCTGTAAGTAATTTGAAAGAATAATTTTATGACATTAATTTTGCATATAGCAGAAACTAATAAGGTGTAAATGCACATGTGTTCCAAATAGAAAGGATTATTTCTTTTTAAATACTACTAAATACTACATTTTTTTCTGAAGCAGTTATTGCAGAATTTCGTACATATCAACAAAAATCATTGAAACTTTTTCTTCATTTTCTTAAATTGTCTGAATTGAATTCTGTTCTATAATTTATGTTCCCATATACCACTTGTTACATAAACACAGCCGAGTACTTCAAGTCTTACCTATTTATGTAATTCACAGGATAATGCCAAAATCTATCTTGTTATGACATTCAGAAAAGTCATTAAAACAATGTACCTGCTGGAATGATACTGGTTTATGGATCCAACAGTTTCTTGCTTATTACAGTCATGATTTTCAAAGATGATTTTTGTGCCTTATCTGTTCTCATCAGTTCTTTCAAAGGAAGTTAATATACATAAATACATTGATATATTTCAGGTTTACTGAAAATCAGCTGACCTCTATCTCTTTTGCATTTTAAAGATTTTTTTGTTTTCATATAAAATAGATATATAAAAATGTCCCTGTGTCTAAATAACCAATTTATAGATTTCTTCCTCATTAAGCATTTTACCAAATACACATTTGAGCTGGTGATATTTTACTTCTCTGAGCGTGTTTGCCTTCAGAGTGGAGAAGACAACTGCAATAGTAGCAAGACTGTTCTGTTGTGGTCTGTCTCTGACTTCTGATGATTTTAAATTGCTCTGTCACTCTTGCCTCTGCATAGTATGTTCAAAAGTCTGCCTGAAAAAATGTCAGTTTTCAATTGCATTTTGAGAGAAAGGATGCCAGGGACAGGATACTTTGCCATTTTCAAAAAGAGCCATAATTCAGGACTTCCTTCTGAATTTCATGAGTTTTACACTAAATTTTTACACTAAAGTGTTTGATACAAAGGCTGTGGAGATGTATTAAAATACAATTATAAGATCATAGTTCTCTTTTTTCTTTAATCAAACATAATACAAACATGAAAACGTTTTAGTGCAATTGTACTTTAACAAAGAGCACACATTAGTTTGGTGTGGAGGAAAGAGGCAATGAGGGATTGAGTTACAGGAAGGCCCTTCTGTTTGAACCTTCTACATTACTTTTTCCTGCATCTACCAAAGAATCCAGATCTCCATTCCCAGGCCCTTCAGCCTTCTCCACCCACTCACATGACTCATTCACAGGAACTGATCAATAACAGTAATGATCACTTCATTCTAGCGAAGGCAAGTACATGTGCTTATACAACCAGAAGCAATAGTTTTCCTTACCTCTCCCTTGAAACTCCCTGTCCATATCTTCCATTCTCAGTCCAGCCCAGTCGGAGAGTCCCTTCTTCCTAGAGCTTCAAGATCCCCAGCTCAAAGTGCAGAG